GTATATTTATTAGCGCAAGTTCTTCTGCGCTATTATTAGATATATCTAATACGGCCTGCGGGATGCGGATTCTAAGTTTAGGGTAATATTCTAAGGCTTTTTACCTTACTCTATAAACTAGGCGATTAAGCTAAAGTTTTAGATATTATTGCTATTCTCCTAAGGCTTAGTTATATAGAGCGTTATCCTATTACTAGCTGCTATTAGGCAGTAGATTATTTTTTTCTAGAGTATCTAAAAATAACCTAAAAGTATTATTACTTCTAAAAGGCAATAAGGTCCTGTCTCCCTGCTTAGTAACTAACTACAAGTTATTATTACTTAATTAGAACGGCGCTCCCTTTTCTAAGTTATTATTACTTAGTTAAAATAGCGTTTATAAGTCTTTATTACTTATCTAAGGTAATATTTGCAGGTTTTTAGTGCCCGCCCGAGGTAGTATTTACAAGTCTTTAGTACCTGCACGAGGTAATATTTACAAGTCCTTATTACTTGTTTTAGAAAAGGCTCGCTCTAGTACTGCTGCGGATGCGTAATATCTAGAGGCTGGTATAGATACTTACTATATACTTACTAATAGTTGGTTTAGTAGCCCTACTATTTTACTCCCCTCTGCAGCAGCAGCTATTACCTTAAGTAAGCTATATTATTTAGCTTCTATATCTTATATAATCTATATAAAGGGAGTTATAAAAGCTTTTTAGAATTTAGTATTTAGAGTTCTAATAATCCTTCTATCTTCTAGTAGAATATAGTAGTTAGTATTTTCCTTATAGCCTAGTAAAATATATAGCCTTATTTGCGGTTTAGTTAGCTTTTTCCTTTACTTTAGTAGGATTAGGTATTCCCCCCTTAACCTAATTACTCTTAGTTATAATAAATTAGGCTTCTTGCTATACTATACCTAATACGGTGTTATCTAAAGCTTTAATAAAAGTAATCGGTTGGAAAAATATACTACTATTTAAGCTATCTCTAGCTAGAACTTTAATAGCAGCTTTATATATGCTAGTATAGGTCCAACTCGATTATATATTATTTTATAGGCTCTTTTAGCCACGCTATTCTGCTAGTGCTGGTCTATACCTGTAACCTTAGCTTAAATTAATTAAGAAAAAAAAATAAACTTTATTTCTTCTTCTACTTACTTAGTAATCTAATTAAGCCGTATTTATCTATACTTTTGTTTAGAGCGCTTGTTATAGTTAAGAAAGAAGTATAGCAATTTAATAATAAATCCCTGTTATTATAGTATAGGAATAACTTTAATCTAGCCGGTTAAGTTATTAATAATAGTTAGCTAGTAGTAACTGCTATTAAGACCCTTATTAAATAGTCCTGCGACGTCTATATAGAGGAGTTCTATTAGATATTTTCCCTTATAACCTAAGCGGTTATATAGCTTTTCGGTTATTTGCCCCTAAAAGCACGGATTATATAGTTCTTGCGGCTCTATATTTTAAATACTATAGGCTTACTTTTTAAGCTATTGCAAGTTTATATTGCTTAGGTAAGCCAGTTAGTTATACTAAAGGGTTAACTGTAGGCTAATATAGTAGGCTAGAAAAAAAAGGTTTATTTATAGGTTAAGTGCGTAAATACTATAGTATTTACTTGCAGTGTATAAGCTCTTCTTACTTAACTTATTGCGGATACTCGCGCCCTTACTTAAGAACTTAACTTTAGCCCCGCGTTTAAGTAACTGGAGTATAGATATAAGGCTTATATGCGCGGATAGGATAAAAAAGATATTATTAAGAATAAGCTATTTTTTTCTACTCTATATATTACACAGTATATTTATTATACCTACTCCTAAGGAAGATATAGATATATTAACGCTCCGAAGTGCGGGCCTATAGTATATACCTATCTAAATAAACTTTAAGGCGTTGTTGTATATATACTGGGCACAGCTACTGTTAATAATATAGGCGTCGCGGATTAGAAGCGTTTTTATAGTTATTATTGCAAGGGTATAGGTAAATACGGCGCAATTGCTTCTAACGCCCTTCCTAAATACCGCATTAATATCTTCTCCTATAGCCTTTATTACTATAAAGGTGGGCTTTTTTAGGTTTTTTAGGCCACCTGTATTATTATCCTTATTATTAGTAAAGTGCTGTCTTTTTAACAGTTTGCGACTATTAGCTTGTAAGCCCTGTGCCTTTGCCTTATATCCCTCTTTATTTTTCCCTTAGCTTTTTAGCCTTAGATTTTTCTTAAAGTATTTAGTTTTAATATAGTAGGGCTTTTAGTAGAAAAAGCAGTAGGAAATATTATTAATCTTAATTTAGTATATAGTTCTATTAGATAATAGAATAAGGTTCTTCTGGCCAGGCCCCTAAATTAGAGTAAAAGCAGGGAGCACCTGTATATTACTTAATTATTTTCCTAGCTACCCCTTTCTATATTCTTCCTTAATTGCCTTACCTTTAATATAGTTAAATATAGGTGCAGCCTTAATAATATGCCTGTTTACATCTCTATTATTAATAAGGTCTATCTGCCTAAAGATATAATCACGGAAGCCTTTATATTTAGCGCCCAGCGCGTGTATAAAGAAGAATATACACTTAATTTCTAAAGTAATATAATTAGGGTTAAGGAGAAGTTTCTTAGCGTAAATCCTTCTAATCTTAGCTTCTAGGGCCTAAGTGCTCCTATATTTTTCTTATATAAGGGATATATACCGCCGCTGTAGGTTAATATATATTTCTAAACCTTCTAGTTTAAAGTTCTTCTTAACTGCCTATAAAAAAGATTAAACTTAATAGATTTTAAAAGTATTAATCCGTTGCGCGGTATTATATATTAGCTTTACTGCGATTATTGCTGTGTAGAACTTATAGCGGTGCTGCTATTATTATACATCCTCTTTTTCTATAGGTGGAGTTGCTCTGTCTTCGGCAATAGCAGATATTTGGATAAATTTATTAACCTTCTAGTTCTACCTAAACTAGTTACTAGTATTATCTAATATTAGAATAGTATTATAGAATATATTTAGGCTAAATTGCTTAAACTTTATAATATCGGTTATAGTGAAATTGGGTGCTCCTCTGCGCTAAAAAACTCTAATTTATTACTAAGCGGGCTTAGGGTAATAGAGGTGGTATAGTTAGATATAGTGGCGGAGCGTGCCTCTAGGCTAAAAAGCTTAAGGCTTAAAGCTTTACTTAGTTTACTTAAGATAATAGAAGGGCTGTAATTAGATAAGCCTGGCGTAGGTAAATAGGAAGGGGGCTTATAGTCTCTGTCTGGTGCCTTGCATAGCTTAGAGTGTTTTTTACACGCCCTGGAGAAGTGGGGAAATTGTCGGCAGTTAACCGGGTATTGCAACCTAATTCCCTGGAAACTTATAGGTCTATTTAGTCGGAGGTTATAACGCGTGATATTATTATTGTTAGTAATATATTTCTTCCTAGCCTTAGAGGATAGGGCGTCTGGTTCTTGTTTAAACCGGGAGTGCTTAATAGCCCCGGTGCGGGAGGACATAATTAACGCGCGGTGTATACGCTCCTTAAGAGGTAGGCGAAAGAATGCGATCTTGACTGCGCCAACCGATGTTGACGGGAAAAGCGTGCTTTGAATCTGACCCTAAGTCCACTTACGGTCTAGCCGAAGATAAGAGATGTTATTTACTTCCTCTCTTGTCCAGCGGTGGGTTTTGTTTCGCTGTTTCTTTTGTAGTGGTTGCGGTTTAAGGAGGTTAATTCGCAATCTTGTCGTTGGAGTTGACATCTTTCCCGACCTCTTCTTGTATTCTCGGTGTCATTTCATATGCACAACGTAGAGCGCATGTTGTGGGGTCGATTCTGCCCCTTCCGTTTCGGCATGGTTTCAATTCGCCTATCACAGGGGTTATCACTGTGATATCTACCCCTATCACATTTATGGTGTTTGTGATTTCGTCGGATGGAGGGTGATCCGTCTTGTTCCGAGTTCTTATTGGACTGTTTCGCAGATATTAACTTCATCGCTCATAAGATCATCACTTGCTGCGGAAGCTTAGCTGTAGGTATATATCTCTCAAAACCTGAATCGTGCGAGCCGGGTTCATAACCTGTTGAGCAAGTGATTGTGTCTGCTTTTTTTCATTATCTGGCTATGGATGGGCGGGGTGCCTCATATATGTATCCATTCTCACCCCTTGTCACATCGTTTCAGCCACCATTAACCGTGACATTCAACAAGACCATTACGAGAAATGCATGATTCGTACCATTACTAAGAGTCTACCAGTACGAAAAGGGAAGAGGAGCCCAAAGGGGCTCCTCACTATGTACCATTACGAAATTGCAGACAATTGCGCCAGTACAAGGAGCCCGTTCTTGAAGCTTGCATCGTACTGGAGTGGATTTAAGGCCCGCTCTAGTCCACTCCAGTCCAATCCCTTCACTGCACACTTGTAGGAACATTTGAAAGCAAATAGCATAGACAACTTCCCTAAGAGCATAATCGTCCTAAAGACCCGTCTTGCGAGCATGTCTATCTTGAGAACATAACCGTCTCAAGACGGGTCTATCTTAGTCTAGCGCATCATCAAGTACGAATTTGATGCACGGATTCACGGCACCACCACGCAGCAACGACATCGGCGTAGTAATTTTCCTTATGATGGGCAATTTTATGAAAACGCCCCGGCAGGGTCACCTATTTCTTTGTTGTGTTGTTGAGATGCAGCTAGAGAATTGTGCCGGTTTGGGGCGGTTTTGCATCGCTTATTCTACCCGTTGACAGCTTGAATATATACTAGGCGGCACCCCTTGTAACAACCAGTCCCGTGTACATAGTGGGAACATGTCCCATGTAGGAACATGTCCCGTGGAACCAGTCCCGTGTGGGGTATTTCTAAAAATAGGACGGTGGCCAAATGCCCGATGAGGTGCTTCTTCCTTGCTACTCTCCTCCCCAAGAACACACGATCCGGCTGCTCGCACGATCCGGCTGCTCGCACGATTCAACCGCTCCCACGATGCCAACAAACATTAGGTACCTGAGTATCGACTCCGGAGGCTGCACAAGGCCGGAGGGCTGCACCGGAGGCTGCATAGGAAGGTTAGTATAGACCTAGGCCAGGCTCTGTGACGAGCGTAGTCAGTTCAGATAAGAGTCCAGGCAAACACTCATGAGAATAGGCAGGCTAGATCTAGTTTACATCCAACATGCAAATTTCCTATCAGCAAGGTCCGACCCGCTGGCTACGTCACTAAGCTCACGGCACAAGCAACACCACTATTACTAATTAGGGATAGTGTTTAGCCGGGCTAGACTCTATCACCAGTTAGGAAGTTTATTTGAACGCTCTCGTTGCGCACGTCTTGCTAATGCTCTCACCACTAGAAGTGATCACCAACTCGTGCACGGCCACCAGCTAATGCACGGTTACCGAGCGCCACCACCACCATCTTCAAAAATTCACAGCTTCATCAATTTTCTACCAAATTGCTTCAAACATGGATCAAATGGAAGTCGCGATCGCGGAGCTTCGTATCTGCGAGGGCAAGAACATCGCAAAGGTTGCTAGGGGACACGGGATTATCCGGAGTACCCTTTCTCGCCGCTACCATGGAAAGACAGTATCTCGATCGGATGCGCACGAAAATCAACGAAACCTCGACGCTGCGCAATCGGCTGCGCTTCTTAGCTATATTAAAAGCCTTACAGAGAGAGGATTGCCTCCTACCATTGAAATGCTAAGGAATATAGCCGCCGAGATTATAGGCTATATGCTAGGCAAGAATTAGGCTACTAGGTGGATTTCAACGCATAGTATAGTGCTTAATTCTAGGTATCTTTTAACGCTTAATGCAGAGAGGAAGAAGGCAGACTCTGTGGAATACTATATATAGTATTTTAAGTTAATTTAGTAAAAGATTAATAAATATAGTGTTAAGAAAAAGAATAGCTATAATATAGATAAAAAGGGCTTTTTTATTAGTTTCTTAACTAAAAAAAGGCAATATTACTCTAAATTAAGCTTTTATAGCGCAGAGGTCCAGCACGTTATATAGGATAGAAATAGAAAGTAGATTACTATACTAGCAGGTATTTATATAGACAGTAGTACCCTTTTTCTATTACTTATTTATAAAGCTAAAATAGGAAATTTATAAAATATATAGCTTAAGGATTTTAATCTATAAGAATATAACTGCTTTTTTACTTCTTCTTCTACCGGCTAGACTAATAATAATCTTAGATTCTAATAGCTTACTACTATATTTAATTAAGAAATATAGGTAAAGGCATGCTAAAAAAGAGACTAAAGGCTTCTAATTTTAGACGGCTATAGTTTTTATATAGATATATGCTTTATTAATTAGTATAATAAGTATAGGACTCTCCTTACTATATTCCCTTCTTATTTAACGCATTAGCTATAGCTACTAGATATCTTTCTTTTCCGTCCGCTTACTATTAATTACTTTAATAAACTTATCTAATTCTAATACTAAAGTAAAGGCTTTACACGCTTTTAGAAGCAGAACTTTTTTACTAGCTTCTAGCTAGCCTAGAATAAAATATTTACTAAAAAGAATATTCTTTCTAAGTAGGCTAAAACCGGCCTTATTCTATTTAAACTAGAGGTTATAATAAAGAAAATATAAAGTAGCAGTAATTCTATAACTTTAACTAGGCTAAATTTAAGCTTAGGCAGCTCTATAGCCTTAGCCTTAAAGTGGAAAACTATTAAAAAAGTAATAAAAAACACCTAGGGGCCCTAGCCTTCTAGAAGCTAAAGAAAAAGCTATAGAATAGTAAAGAAAGTATTTATAAAAGAAAAGATAAATTCCTATTATATCTAAGGCTATTAAGCAGCTATTTAAGTTAAGCAATTATAGCGCAAGTATTATAAGCCTTTTTTTCACTAGAATAATATTAGTAGTGCTACTTTTTATAGCCTCTATAAGGTGTAAGTATAGAAAAAAGCCCGCCTAGAGGCCGTTAAAAAGGACGCTAAGCTTTAAGCGCAGCTTTAAAAAGGTGCCTAAAAGGAAAAAATAGAGGAAGAAGAGGCCCCTATAGCTTTAGGCCGACTACGGCGTTAAAAAAGGCTTCCTTTTCGATTTAACGATAACGTTATATATATAGAATAAAAGAGCAACCTTAGTTACCTTTTCTTCTTAATTTTTATATATTTAGGACGTTGTGTTGTATTATAAAGCTTTAAGTCGTGATTCGGGTTAATTTTCGGAATCCGTGCACGAGGTAGTGGCCGTGCACGAGTTGGTAATCACTTCTAACGTGCGTCCCTGCGTAGCGAGAAACCCTGCGTGGTAAGAAAATTAATAGGTAGAGTACTTAAGTAGGTTATTGTATATAAGGGTGTTATTATATAGCCTGTGCAATTAGTAAGCAGGAATATTAAAAGTAACGGAGATTGCTGTTTTGCAGCGATTTCTTATATAAATTAATATATAATAATATCTATACCGTTTTAAAGCTGGAAATTAATATAATATCTATTTATATAAGCTCTAATATAGTATTAAAACTTATTCTAACTCGTTTACCTATAATATTACTTTATTTACTTAATAGTAGCCTTTCTTAACACTTTCTAGTATACGATTCTTATTTATTTCCCTATTTTTATTAATTTCCTTATCTATTTCCTTATTAAATTCCTTATTAAATTGTTTATTAAATTGTTTATCGAATTAATTAATTTCCATTTTATTAGCCCCTATATTCTATATTAAGTTCTGTATTAAGTTCTATAGGAAGGCTATATATACGTAAGTATGCTACTATACTAATATAGCTTTATTAACGGCTATCTTAGCAATTATATTAGCACTTAAAGCAATTAATAAAGCCTTATAAAGCTTTTTAACAGCGTTTTTTGTAATTTGGCTGCCGTTCTAGCTATTAGCTATAATAGCGTTATTATACTTCTTTTATACTTGTTTACGTTAACGTTATATAGCTTTATATTCTTTCTCCTTAGCTAGCTTATATACACGTAATTTAACACGCTTAGTAACGGCTTCCTTCCTTTTCTACTTATTTTTATCTTTATCTATCTTAGCTTCCTTTTTAAGTAACTTAGCGGCCTCTCGAAGCTCCTTAGCGTGTTGTTTTTTAGCTATAGTAATAGCCTAGGTATTAAAAATTCTCCGGATTTCGGTTATAGAAATATAGTATAATTTTATAAGCACTAAATTCTTTTTTAATTACTTATATTTCTGTGTAGCTGTAGCTGTTTTAAGCTCGCAATTTTAATTATTAATAAGCTATAGTTCTATATATAGAAAATTAATTATAGTATATAGCTTATTAGTAGCTATATTACGTGTAGCCTGCGTAGCTAAGGTATAAGAAATTAATATTTAGTAACGTAATATATTATCTTATATTAACAAAGTTCTTAGATATATTAGCAATAAAAGGAGAGCTGGCGTTCTAATCCGAATTTGCTAAGAAGTTGTATAGCGCTTAAATTAATTAGGCTTTTTTAATTTCTATAGAATTCTTTAGGCATTAAAAGGCTATATTCCTGCTGCTAAGAAGCTTATTTTAATATATTATAAGGTATATATATTATTATAAATCTGCCTATAGAGCTCTAGGAATACTATATAGTTAATACTATATTACTAAAGGCTAATATACTTGTTAATCTTATCTAAATATTATTTCTTTAAAATAGAAAAGAGATAATAATTTAGTAGTTAGATATTATAAGTAGTATAGGGTAGTAAATAGAATAGGATAATCCTGGCCTCTTCGTATTTAGTAATAAATTCCAGAAAAAGGTAAGAAATATAGCTATCTATTAGAAAAAGCCGGTAACTATATTATTCTCCTGCGGATTTTCTATCTTCACGGATATCCTTCTAATAATCCTTTTATTAAGTCTATATATTAAAATAGTTAATCCACGCAGTAGTATATTACTAATTACTCTAACTGTTAATAGAAACTCTAATCTCTAAATCTAGAACAGAATTAAGAGCTTCTATACCTATATTCTTAGTTATTACTTTCCCCTTAAAAATAAAGTAAGAGGGAATAGAAATACCGCCAGCAGATATAGCACCTATCTTTATAACCTATTCTCTATTACTAGGTAATAAAAAAGGATACTTTTAGCTACTATAGAGTGTTACTTTCTTATAATTATATGCGTAGCCTATTTAATAGCCCGTTTTATCTATATTCTAGAGGTCTAATTCTTTAATATTATATTTTATAAAAGTCCTTTCTAGCTTATTAAAGAACCTTTTATATACTATAGTATTATTATTAGCTATAGATCTATCTATTTCCAGATAGCAGGCGTATTAAATTTAGAAGTTTAGATAGCGTTTTAAGTACTAATCTACCTATCTAACACCTAGTATAGTATTAGAATTATCTTTACTATTTTTACGCAGCTGTTTCTTATATACTATAAGCGCAATTTAATAAATCTAAACCTTCTTTAATAGAAAGCTATTCTTAATTAGTATTATATAATAGCGCTTAACTGCTGCCTCCGAAGCTAGGGTTAATTTCTAATCTTTTTAGTATAATAGCTGTAAGGTTATACGCTTACCAGAGAGCTAATTAAGAATAGTTTGTAGGTGGATGGTATACGCATTTGCGGTAGCTATAGCGCTTGGATAGTAATAATTTCTATACGAGTTAATAGCTTACTATATTCTCTCGCCTTTACTAGGCCTATAGCGAATTCTGGGCATATTGGATTTGTTATTTAAGCGTGGTTATATAGGTTGTTTCCAGCGTAAATACGCATTTCGGAGTGATTTAATATTCCTGCTTACTAATCGCACGGGCTATACAATAACACCCTTATATATAATAACTTACTTAAGTACTCTACTTTAACTTTAAGCAACTCTAACTCTATATATATACTAATATTTCCTACAGCTCTATATAAGTTATATACTACCGCCACTGCTAAATACTTAGAACACCTACCACCTTAAAATTGTCACGATAGCGCTACACGCGAGAGGTCGAGGGCTTAAAGAGGAGCGTTGATTAGGTGCTATGTACAATGCTACGTGGAGAATCAAGACGTTGTGTAAGGGACAGGAAGACGGGAGACGGGCCACCGGATATAAGGGCGTGGCCGAGCGCGTGGCGTACGGCCTCTATGCCGTTTCGGCGCGTGGCACGCGTGTACGCGAGGTCCTTACCAGATCAGGTGATAGGAAAAGGGGGCAGCCGGTAGGTGGCTGGAGCGGGACAGGATAGGAAGCGGAAGCGAGACGGGAGGGGAGCAGGGCAGGCAGAGCAGGAGGCCGGCCAACGGTAGTAGGCCGGTGCAGATTGCTGGAGTTGTAGCAATCTGCGGCAGAATTTCGGTAGGTAGGGTGTCGCGGTCGATACCGTGACAAAAATTATATTCGCCGTTGTCGCCTTCACGCCTAATTAGCGGAAAGCCTTCTTTTATAGCGTAATAGAATTCCTTTACCACAGCACCCCTTTCAAGCTCTTATCACTCCTAATATTTATAAGAAGACCTTATCAGAGCCTTAGAGCCTTATTACAATACTGGAAGTCGTCATCAGCCTTATAGCTGCTATCGCATGCCAACTCATGCAGAGTCGCCATGCCGATTGGTACCTTCAGTCGAAGCGATTACTAATCCTAGCTAATGCAAAACAGCCTACATAATCATTACTGTGTAATTTACTTACAGTGGCTGCTAGACCTGCGGCTGTGCGCAGTCTTGGCAAACAGGCCGACCTCAGCCTTGCACTTAGCCTTGGGCGAACCTTCAAAACACCTACAGAATTTGCCACCTCACAAGGGTGTGGCCGGTACGGGTCAGCCGCTCTCCCTGCTAGCGTATCCGCCTCCTACGCCACATAGCAAAATATATTGCCGCCTTAAACTTAAAGAATGCTATCTATAAAGTATATATAAAAAATGCTATAGCAGGTGGTACGTAGGGAGGAGGCTAACTAAAGAAATATGTTGCTAAGAGATGTGAGGGTGCGATTCCAGCAGCTTGATCACTGCTTCATGCCCTCCTGTTGCCGCAAATGACAGCGGCGTCCCCCCCCATTGATCAGCTGAGTCGACATCGGCCTCGCCCGTCTTGAGCAGCAGCTTGATCACTGCCTCGTGCCCTCCCTCCGCCGCAAATGATAGCGGCGTCCGCCAGTATCCATCTTCCGAGTTGACGTTGACCTTGCCCGTCTCGAGCAGCAGCTTAACTACCGCCTCATGCCCTCTCCCTGCTGCCCACGATAGCAGCGTCCGTTCATATTGACTCTCCTTTAAGTCGACGTTGACTTTGCCTGTCTCGAGCAGCAGCTTGACCACC